ATTACTCTCAAATTCAATACGTTGCTTGACAAAAACAAGAATAAAAGGCTTTCTACTTTAAAAAGAAGAAAACTTGTATCATAAAAAAAAAAATCTTTAAATTATAGTTTCTCTTTTCTGGTCCAATTTAAATTGTTACATAGTTGCTAAATTAGTGCTGTAATCCCTGCTTACAAATTGCAGAATTATTTTTTAAAAATAGATGTAGTTTTACTGCAGGGATCAACCTTACACTTTAGACCATATGTGCTGGAGGAAGCTGCTCTTGCACAGCCTTCAACCAAACACACTCACGTGCCCACACAGGGCGAGGTTTACAATACCAGTCACACTGAAGCCAATAGCAGTCTTACTAGAGACTTCAATTAGCACAAATTGAGTTAACACTGACATTTCAGAATGATTAGTAAATTCAAGCTTTCCCAGGATGCTCAATGGCACCAGTGGCTCTAGTCGTACCATTTCTTAAAATATCAGCATTTCTCTTGTGTTCTGTTCTGAACTACCTTCTCCTACTGAACTAGAGCCACTGATAGGCCAGGAAGTTAGACACTTGTAAGAGAGAAAAACTTCTAAGATATACTGGGTTTTTTCCCTCACAAAACAAGTAATTGGGGGAAAAAGAAAAAAAAACAAAACAGTGGATCACTACAGTCCTGACTTTAAAGCTACAGAAAAGTAGTAATCAGGACATGACTCCCAAGCACAATTCTTCCTCCTTAAAGCTCTTTCACAGCTTTAGTACTACGGAAAGATGAACTTCATCTGTAAAATCCTTGTAAGTGATCTCTGAGGATGGGTTTAAGGTCACGTCATCAATATCTCCCAGCACACAGCAGAAACAGGAAACCTCAATTCCTGGCTCTCCATAGGGCACTGCAGAGCATACCCACCATTTCCCCCCACTCTAGCTAGACAGACATGAGAGTTTCTTTCTTCTCCTTCAATCGCTCATCATTTCTAACCCACTACTTCTCTGAACTCTTTCAGCTGACCCAGGCTATTTCTGCTTTCCTGTACCCTTCCCAATCACACCACGGTCCTCTCCTCAGGTGGGTCACATTGACTTGGACACAAACAGAAGAAACCCTCAGAGGCCAGGAGCATCTGCAAGATCTCTCTGTGTCCTGTGTTAACTGCAGGAGCTCAGTCCTTCTCAGCCCTCAGAGTTCATATCTCCAACTGCCAACCACCAGACTGCCAGGAGAGGGGATAAAGAACGGAGGAGAATTTCCATGTCCTGGAGAAAGCTATCTGGACATCAAAGAACATCCCATTCACAAAACAGCAGCATCACTCTTGCCAGACTGGTGTGTCTGGTTAACCTTGTGTTCAGTCCTTATGATAACACGGTATTTGGAAAGCAGACAGCTGGCACTGCTCTAACATCTTGCTTTTCAGTCTTTTATAACAACAATTCCAGTGATATTACTTTTAACCTTTTCCTTGCTCTGACTCCAGTGCTAAAATCTCTTCCACTACTTAAGAGAGAGCAAACCAAATGGTTTTTTGTTGGTAATTTGCCCTGTAAGGGAGGGAAAAAATATACTGATAACAGACGCCAGACACAGCATTCAGCACGTGCACAGCAGTACACTGGTTACACTGGAACCCCTATCATGATATTTCAGATGTTACTTGACTGTCGTAATGACTAGGAAACATCTGTCTCCTATTAACACTTTAGTTTTTACAGTTGCTTTTAGTTCAGCAGAAGTGTCTTAATGGAGAAGACTGGTACTCTTTTAGAAATAACATCAATAATGAAAGAATCCTTGGATGCAGAGCAAAACCAGCAAACACATTGGCAACAGAACTCGCTGCACTCGTAAGATGTAACAGGAAATGATAGTGATGGACTTCTGGGGGGCGGGGGCTGTGGTGTGAAAGAAATTAACTCTGGTACTCAAATTCCCATTAGGAAAAATATTTATTTTCAAACAGATCTCCTTAGATGTTATTTCAGACTTTTGGGGAATTTCATCTTAACTGGGTCACTGATAAATAAAACCAGAAACACAAACAAAGAAAAGCCCTTCTGCAGGCTATTTAGGCTTGGTATTGACTAACCAGTAATTAAATACAGCTCTTCACAGTAATCTTAATTATGGCTTCACTGCACCACAACTAAGAGTCACATAACAAACCGAGAAGATTAGCCAATTCTAATTGTTGAAAAACATTTATTTTTATTTTTGTGCATAGTTTTTGTGTGTGTAAGGCCACAAGTCACACAAGTGAATTATTAAAAAATAATCAAAGACTTCAATAATTTATATCTCACAATTAGGCAAGTACTATAGTTTATTTTCATTATATAAATGAAGCCTCCATGGCTTGCATCAGAGGTCAAGAGTTTTGGACTTAGGAAAATGGGGATGTGTGCTAGAAATCAGTGTGAATTAGGTAGACCAGTAAACAAGTTTCATTGAATTACTCAGACTTATGCCAGATGAAAACCCTGTTTTCTCAGTTGGCCGCTGCCATGAATTAGGTGTGCGGTCTTGGGCTAGTCACATAGGCTGCACCTTTCATGGGAATTAGGTCCAGAGGTATCCGAGTCTAGGCACTTCAGTCTCATTGACTTCCTACAGATCTAGGGTTCCTAGTATCCAAGCTGTTTTCTGATCACAGGACTTGAAGAAGCTCAAAAAAAATAATAATAATAAAAAAAAATCTGAGGCCACAATTCAGCAGAATCCTTAAGTACAGGCTAGATTTTAAGCAGGTCATTAACTCTCATTGAGTTCAGTATAACTGCATCACACATCTAAAGGCATCTAAAGACAAAAGCATTCAGACTGTGCCTCATCAATTTAAGGGTCCCCAATTCATCTGCAAGAATCTGCAAGCCTAGCTCAAGGCTTCAGTGTACTTAGGCATTCATTATCCTTCTGAAGCCAGTGCAGACCTCATTCCACTGAAAAATCAATGAGACATATGCTCTAGGACACAAATTCCTCAGGCCCAAAGCCAGTAGCATGGCAGGTGCTTAGATCCCTTGTAGATCTGGCTTTCAGCACAGCTGAGTCCTGAGCTTTCTGAAAGGTTCTGAGACTTAGGCTTCCAACTCTTGCTTCTTCCACATTTAAGAGTTTAATGTGTGCTTGGCTTTTTGGTTTTTTCTTTACTGCCTCAGATTGCCAGATTCCAGCTTCCCATTTCCCACTCACAGTAACAGCTGTCCAGCTACACATACACAGCCCCATCAGCACTGCCATCCTTTCCCCTGCATGTGCAGCAGCAGATGGATCCAGACGTGTTTTGGGTTAAGTCCATAACCAGGTTTTTGTGGACTGCATGGATAAACACTTAAAGGCCCCTTCTGGTTATATAAAAAGAAGCTATTAAACGTTTACTCTTTCCTCTGTACTCAGAGCTGCAAAGCCATATCACAGAATGTACAAACGCAGATGCAACCAGGCAATTATCGTTCCTTTATCCCTTAAATAGATAGAAGATAAATTTGAAAGAAAATGAGGAACAGAATCCTTCTCCCTTTCCTTTTTTATCCTTTTATCTCCCAATGTAGGAAGTTTACTGAACCCTTGCCAACAATTCACTCAGGCTAATGAAGTGTATAAGTAATGGGATTAAATAATCTTAAACCATTACTACAGTGTCTAATGCAGATGTTTTCCCAAACTAAAGCAGATGAGTGGTGAAGAATGCGTGCTTGATTTAAAAAAGAGGAAAAGAAAGTATCAATCTGCAAGCAGATGAAGTCAATTCCAGCCTGAAGTCAATGAAATGTTTAATTCCAGTTACATAAAGTTGCTCCGATTATATTATGCATGCACCTTCCTAAAGCCTGCAGTGCTTAGCACATGGTCGAACTTGCCACAAAATGAACCTTAAATTTTTTATGCTGCAATCATTTTAGTGCAAACAAAAATAGAAATGATTCAAAAGATAGATATTCCATCAAAAGATCATTTAGCTTTTAAAAACAAATTAACAAGGCCCATCTATCACTGCCATTGTAAATAAGACAGAATCTGCCCTTTTTATATTCAATATTTCAGTAATAATCCCACTGTAAAGGCTCTGCAGAAATAGGGAGAACAATGGGATATTGGTGGCATTTTCAAAAATACGTATTATTGCTCTAATTATTACTGGAATGCAGAAACATCAAGTAAAGCATCAATTTTTACTTTCAGAAGTGCAAGTCCAATTCTGCAAGGTCTCAGGCCCAGTGTCTATAAGTACTTAGAACTGGACATTTAGAGAAAGACCTATCAACACTCCCAGAATGTTTTGGTGCTTGGTACTCTAAGATACAAGGATTACCCTCATATACTGGATGTGTAGGTCACACTAAGGTAAGGCCTCAGGCATGTTACGTGATGTTTCTTTAATTTGCACCTGTGCAATTGGTTCCAGCAGCTCTTACAGGAGCCCTCACAAGATGCAGCTCCTCAGAACAACTGTTAATTGTTTTCTTTAAGACCTTGTTGGAGGCATGAAATGAAATTTTAGGGCAAGGTAAGCTTCAAAAGATATCTAATCCGAAGACTCCTAGTTCAGTAGAAAAATTTCCATCAAGCAATATAAAGGCTTTTATTTTAGAGAGAATTTTTGTATTCTCTGCTCTCTTGCATCCCACCTCCTTAATCGTAGTGGGCACCACAGTCTGTAAACTTTTTGGTATCAGGTTTCCCAATACAGAAAACTAAGGACAACACTACTGCTAAAAAAAAATCACTGCATCGTCTGCTCCTTACAGAAATGAAAAATGACAAAAAGCATCTATTTCCCCTGCTGTGCTTTTCCCTGTCCCATTTCTTTTTGGAGACATGTCAGACCAGGAAAAGAGATTCATCCAGTAAGTTGAAAATATTGGAGTTCTTCTGAATACCATGGAAAAACCTGGTGCCCACGGTACTGCCACAGGATTGTCAGATTTTAACTGTAAGGCAACTCTACAGCAAGAAGGAAATCAATGTTTCCAATGTCTGTGCATTAAAGCCAGGACACAAAGAAGAACAGGTACTTACAATATAGCAGGGTTCACAGTAGGCTTTCTTCTCCACTGCATAGAAAGGCTGTCCCCTCAGCTTGCTTTTGCACATCATGCAGGTGAAACATTCCACATGGAAGACCTGGTCCATGGCCGTGCAACCGGTGCCTTCTCCAACAACATTCTCCCCACAGCGGGCACAGCGGCCTGTCAGCAAAGGGAATGGATGTGAGTCAAAGCAAGCTCCTGCTCTTGGCTGCAGAGAAGGTCCTTCCACACACCTGTGCTGCACAGGTGTAAGGGGGACACAGCAGCTCAAACAACAGAGGAGCAATTTGTGTCACTTGCTGGCAAAGATCCACCACCACTGTAAGGCACTCTGGTGCTGGCCCATAAGAAAAGATCTAGAAAGGACTGAAACTGGCTCCCAAGAGTGCACTGATATCAGTTCTGCTGCTGCTAGCCAGTGTTCACCGTAAGGAGGTTGAGCCCCAGACACAAACCACCCAGCTATCACCTAACCCAGCTATATAGTCATCCTCAGCTCATCAGTTAGATGTGATAAACCTGTGCCTAAAGCTTTGGCTTCCACGTTAAAGGATTTTGTGGTAGGATGCCTGATAGAAGCTGCCTGGTGGCAGTAGAGTTGCTACCATTTAAAGAGTAGTTTTTGCTTGTACAGCTTAAACCAATTCTCTCAATGAAGCCAATTACTTTTTTTTCTGTTCAAAGATTAATAAGGATTAAGATATTGTGTCTATTTAAAGCACAGAAACTATTCCTAAGGAAACTGAGGTATGGATACTTTATTCTTACCATCCTTCAAGAAAGGTGTATCAGAACCTGCTAGCAAAGACTCTAAGAATAGACAAGCCTTAAGAGCTCTGCCTGTTTCTTAAAAAGGTCCCTAATGTCACATAGAAATGAATAACAAAAAATCTGCAGACACACACACACACATACAAAAGGCTTCCTGCCTTGTTCAGATTGTTGTTAAAAATGTTATGTGGCAGACAGATTTCAAGTGAAGACAAGATTTTCTTAGATCATGGGAAAGACATTTTCCTAGGAAAGATTGTGGTGCAGAGACCATGGAAGAGGTGGGTGGAAGGCACACCCATGCCATTTTTCTCTGTCATTCAAGTTCTGGAAAATGGAGATAACCCGTGCAGGTCTGATGTCCTTACCCAATGATCAATGTTGAAAATGGAAGGTATTAAGGACAACCTCAGACACTCTATGCACGAGAAACCCACCAAAGGTAACAGAGCAACTGTGGCCTGGGACATTGCCCCATCCAAAATGGTACAGTCCAGTTTCAGACTGACTGTGGTGTCTCCAGTCATGGGACCCTGCACTTCTTGAAGGCTTCATGGATAGAGTGGTACAGTCACTGAGAGTGGGAAGGAGGGGAAGGGAGGCAAGAGCTGAGGCACAAGCAGGAAGGCAGACTGAGTTCAATACAGAATTATTCACAAATGCATACACAAATAATATGTATCTGATAATAATTAAATAATCCAGCAACTATATGATGTTCTCTCATACCACAGTCTGTGTTTATTGGGCTTTTCAAGCATATATTGCACAACTTCCTTAAAGGACTTGGACATGTCTTGTCATCCCAGGAGTAGGGCTGCTGTCCTTAGGCAGTGCACTGTCAACATCCCTCACAACTTTTTTCCTGCCTGTCCCAGACTCCAGTAAACTATGTTCAGGGAACAAAGCATGTAAGCTACTTTTGGATCCCTCAGGATGTGGCAGGATGATATATATACACATTTAAGATATATTAGGAAAGCTTGGAAAAAAACCCCAGATCGTTATGATTTGCTACAATGGCATAACCGTAGTTGGCTTTATACAGGACAGACAGTTCCTGACACAGACAGCTCCCAGCCTGAGCAATCTGGAGAGAGAAGTCACCAGATGAATCCAGACAAGCCTGGAAAGCCCCCAAAAAGGAATTAATAATGCTGTATGTGAACTTAAATTTCTTTAGCATTTGTTATTAGTGTTTTGATTGACAGTGTTGTGCTTTAATTACTCCACTGTAGCATTTGTAGTGAGGACTCCTTTTTTATGAGCAGAGAAGGAATGCAGGTTTCCCACCATGGTGGTGAGGCTACAGAGCATGGGGGAAGAATAGAAAAAACCATGAGGACTAGGAAGCAAAAAAAACCCCAAACCCAGTGGACAGAATCACAGGAGCAGCACTGCACTGGAAGGAGGCAAAAGACACCTACTGTGTACACCACAGGAGCTGCATGTACCACGAGAGAGCACCACTCAGTCCTGCATGTGGACAAGACCGAGCGTGCTCCAGGGCCTTCTCCAAACGTCTCGTGTAGCTGGGCTGTAATACGAAGAGACGTCTGGGGAGCAGTTAATATCTCTATATATAAAACATGAAATTGAAAGCCATTAGTGTATTACTTTACACAGTGTTTTTCCAGAGGGAATATTCCACTGAAGAATTTATTTTCCCTAGTGTGCCATTCTGTGATCATCCGGTATTATTTTTATGAGGCATTTGGACATGGAATAATGTAGTGTCTATGCAAACATTTCTCAGCTTTCTTTGTTAACATCTGAGCAGAACATGTGGGAATCTTTTCTTCCCCTCCTCCTCTTCTCACATTCATAATTTAGCCAGCTCTGGTATACTTCAGCATTTATCTTCCTCTTTGACCGGGTATCTCTCCATTTGCTGAAGAAGCTGTCTACATGCAGACCATACTTCTGGCTGTACCTGTGCTGGGAGACCTGGGTCTGTTTCCTAACTCAAATACATCCTCTTGTAATTTCTGACAAGTCACTCAGTGCCTTTGTACCTCTGTCCTCTCTTCCAGCAAAAGGTATATCTTCTCTGTCTCCCAAAGGTGCCCTGAGGCTACATTCCTCCATAACTCTGAGGCATTCCCCAGCTAACTATTGGTGGTCAGATACAAACCAAAGAGTAGCATAACACAAGCCTTGGCCAACTTCTCTTTAAGTTGGTTTCCTTAGGCTTTCCTTCCTCTTCCTGGGTTTTTCCACAGAAGATTCCCATTCAGGCAGTGACAGACTTCACCTGTCTACATTTATGAGAAGTCCAGTTTCTGCGATTAAGTACACAGACAGAAATACTCCTGTAAACTGTCACACAGGAAAGCTTAAAGAAAGCTTCCTTTTTTATAAGTTTATATGCAAATTATAACACTGTGGCCTTGAGCAAACCATGTTTTTCATGAGACATGGCCACTCCAGTGAGAATCAAAACACAAGCTCTGTGCCTAGCAACTCTTCCAACTGACTCACTCATCCAAAAGGTAAAAGCAAATAAGCCAAAATATTCAAATTTGGAAGCTTACAGTTATGTGGCTGGATCCAATCCGGCTTGAAGTGATTTGACCAGTGGAGACTGCACCTTCTGCAGAACTCACAAGACTTCTGCAAAAGCTGGTCTCTTCTCCCAACTCCTGCATCTTGCTCAAATTTAGTTGAAAATGGCTATTAGCTTCAAGTGTTAGTGAGGGAGGAATTGACAAGCAGACAGGCACATGCACACAGGCAGTGTGATTGCACAAGCCTCATTTCCTTAGAAAACCAGAAAAACCCCACTAAAAACAATGTATCTATCATTATGTCTGATAAAAACAAAACAAAGGTCTGCTTTTCCTGCTTGCCAGTTACCAACAGCGAAGGTATTTGTGGTTGGGCTCACCACAATTAAGTGCCCACACATGTTCCCCATTTTAATATTTTCATAGTGGCTGAAATAACCCAGTCTGTTGTGTGCAGAATACCCGTTAGTGAATACAGAACAAGTTGCACTGCTTATTGGGAAAGAAGTAGCAAAGTTTGCAAGACTCAAGAACAAACAGATTGCACAAAAAAAGATTACACAAATAATCTAAGAGAAAAATAGCAGGCAGCGTATTACAGTAGAAACACAGAACAACGTGACCCATTTGCTTCCCACAGAGACAAACAGCACTTAAAAGGCAGCTTAAAGACAAAGGACAAAATTAGCACTAAACTGCATGAAGATGAAACTATGTCATTTCAACATTCTTCTTTTGCCCCTTCAGCCTTTTCAGATCCTTTTTCAAGATCACTTCAGCAAGACTAGAAGGCGATACGTTGGCAGCAAGCCTGGGAGACAGGAGTCCTCTATTTTTGCATGAAAGAGGTTCATAACCTTGGCTGTGCCATGGACCTTCCTTCAGCATTGCCTGGCTGCCACATGTTGGTTTTACCTTGAGGGGACATACAGAAGTGTCCACAGAGGCTTCCCTGCTGAATATGCCACCATAAGTGAGTGGATCACATGGAAACACTTCAGCAGCTGAAAGGATACATCAGCTACTATACTTTATTCTGAAACCTCCTAATTTACTGTCTTCTATTGTGTAAAAAATTTGAAATATTGCAAATCTGAAGGAAAAGGGGGAAGGGAGGAAAGGAGCTCATATTGGTCATGATGCCATGTTCTAACTTCTCGTTATTTTATTACTATTATTACATGTTTTTTGCCTATACCACCACAGATCCTGGAACAGTCCCATTGTGCTGGATATTGGAAAAACAGAAAATTCAAAGGGCCCAACTACAGGAGTTTACAATCTAATACAAGCACTAACAACTGGGTAGAGATAGGAAATAGAAGGAAGCAATCAGACAAAACAGTCAGCAAGGAAAACTGTGGTCTCAGCACTCTAAATATTTTATTGTTGACAAGGAGTCTGTAGACAGCCCAGCAAAGGAAAAGGTTAAGGGAGAATTTGAAAGAGGACCCGGAGGGACTTTAAAGGAAGTTTAATGGGATACTTCTGAGGGAAGGACAAAGACAGAACAAAAGGAAATGTAAGTGCTTGAAGACTGAACATAGACACTTTCAGATGGGAAGGATGAGTTGGTATGTCACTAGAGAATACTAGATGAAAAAGGGTGGGAATAGGTCATTACAGGTCATTCAGGTCATGCAGGTAAAGACATGAAGCTTCTGTTTGATATGATGCAGAAATGAAACCAGAGGAGAGACATTCAGGAGCTGGAGTCAATGATCCTTGTGGGCCCCTTACAACTCAGGATATTCTATGATTCTACAATTAAGAGGCAGGAATGATCTGGCCTAAGTTACAGCTAGAGAGTTATTTCTGCAGCTAGTTGAGCATGAACAGGGAGAAATCACATTTTTTGAAAAGGATGTTGCAGAGATTCAA